TTTTGTCTCCGAGCTGGAAATGTCCCCAGATTTAATGTCAGAAATCTGGTCACCCTAATCTGGAGTAAAGTGGGAAYTGTAAAGTTGAGTGTTGGCGGTGATCCTGATGTCTGCATGGCCTCTCATTACAAAATCAATCCAGAGTTTTTTCAGGCGATCATCTCTCGGAAACTTAAAGTCACCAAGCTGGTACCCTGCACATTGTGACATCCAGGGAAGATGCATGAACAAGGAGAATGAGGCATAATTGGTTAGCTAGCTAACAACGAAAAAAATATCTATGCTATTGCTATCTGATGCTATCTGGGATTCGCAAGTGAATGACAACCACCGAGGCGAAGTACGTTTTTATACTGCTGGAGCAGCAGGGGGCGATGTTATGYTGAAGGCAGCTGCACGACGACACGCAGCCGCCTTTTAAAACGCCCAAAAAATCCTGAAACAAAAATATCTTTAAACACAAATTGATCTATAACTCCTAAATTAATGTATCTAGTGTTGTGACACTTTTTACGCATTTACAACAATCCAATTATGACATGTATAATGTTTATTGAAGAAAATACTAAAATTTACTTTACAGTCTTTAAAACATTCTAACAATTGTGTAACTCCAACAGAACATTCAGATAATACCTGGACCTAGATGACTACAGAGCTCTTGTCATATAGGACATGTTTTTATAACAAAATAAGAACTTTAACACTAAACTAATCTACTAACTAAGCAGATATATATTCACATACTGTATTTGATTGTGAAAAAACAGTTACTAGCAAACATCCACGCTACACATTTATCACTAAAACTTGGAAATGATCAGATTAAATTCTCACAACTTTTATCTTCTGTTTGACAGTAAGATGGTAACAAGATGATTTGAACTAAACATTTGATTCCAGCAAATAATAAAACTTMATTTTATTAAACATCTCTTTCAGTTTCTACTGTCCATCCTAACTCAGTCTCTTCTGCTCTATCCTGTAACAGTAGCACCATCTGGTGACGAGGACAAAATAACAGCAACCTAACAGAACAACTGATACAGTTAAAAGTTTTCATACATGTTCTTAGTGTTTGGTATCATTG